AGAGAGAGAGAGAGAGAGAGAGAGAGAGAGAGAGGATGGAATGAGAGGAACAAAGGAGCAAAGGAGGGGAGATTGAAAAGAAGAAAATAAAGGAGGAAGGATGGATGGAACGACAGCAAAGGAGCAAAGGGGGAGAAATGATGGAAGGAAACAAAAAAGGGAGGGAGGATGGAAAAAAGGAAGCACAGAAGGGAGGAAAGATGGAAGGAAGCAAAGGAGAGAAGATGGACGGAAGGAAGGAGCGTGTGAGGGAGGAAAGGAAGAAAGGAGGGAAGGGAGAAATGAAATTTGTCCTAATTGCGTCCACGTAATTCATGCAAATATTTGAAGAAGTAGGTGCGTGCTACTGGGTGTGACCAAATTACTGTAATAATAAAACCACCTATAACACTGCCTGGTGTAGCGGCGCCTAAGTGCAATAGCTTCAATGAAGTGCTCGCTACGTTTCACGTATATCTTATACCGCAATGGTCGTCATTCCTTCGTTAACTCATTCTGCTATGAACTATTCCTGCCTTCCTGCGTAGCGTGTGAAAAGCAACGAGGGAGGCAACCGCGACGAAGTAGCGCACCTTCCTTTTTTTAACAATTTTCCTCATTGGGAGTAACTCGATGAGGAAAATGTAATATAATCAAAGATAACGTTAACACCCATAAAGGCCTTACTACTCCTATCTAGTATCTAGGTTTAAGTTTCCAACTTCTATTCCCTCCCTCCCTCCCTCCTTCTCTCTCTTTTTATACCCACTCTATCTCCTCACCCCTCCCCTTCCTCTATCCCATTCTTTATCTCCCCCTTAACCCTCCCCTCTACCTCTTATCTACCCCTATGACGATTCCAGCTGTATACCTTGTCCATAGGGCGCCGAAGAAGGCGGCGGCGGCGGGGGTGGAGGCAATGCCGGTTTCAGCGGCATATGCTGGTTGAAGTGTTGTGGCGGCATGTTCTGCCACTGACACTGGGAGTAGCGATGGTACTGCTGCAGGTTCCGATACATGGCAAAGGACGGCGGCAGGACGCAAGGCGGGTAAACAGGAGGAGCCTGCATGGTGGCAGACAGAGGCGTTCCACAGGACGGAAAGTCGGGTGGCGACGGCGTGCAGGGGCTTCGTCAGGGCACCGCAGGGCAAAAAAAAATGTCCTGCACTCACACTGTCGATGGTATCCGCAAGATATTCTCACCTCATACGTGAATGAACTGTGTGTACCCGTGTCCACTAAAGACCAACGTAATGTTCTCGTGTGCGTGTCTAATCAGCAGGGACTTGTCTACGTGTGTAGGTGTCAAATTGGCAGGAACATGTCACAATTTTCGCTCCATGCGGGAATCGCTCTCTCTGACAGCTGGGGTTGCTGGGGCGGATGACACAGGTGTATTGTTGTACTTCTCCGTAACAATGGAATCGCTGAACTTTACCGGTGACACGACACTGGAAGAGGATAAGGGCGGGTCCTGCCACAGCGTGAATGGCAAGAAGCGAGCAAGAGCGTCTACGTGGCGCACAGCAGAGCGAGTGCCGTGTTACGATGTAGTAGCGAGGTGGCACTACTGTTCAGTAAGGCTGACGAACACACACTCAGCCTGCAGCGGCTGCGACCTGCTGCCACTCGCGCCACGCTCACTTACATAAGTCTGGGCAAGTCACGCGCACTTTTTGTTCCTCGCTCTCTACTTCATTCACCGAGAATTTACCAGTCCATATGTCTATCAATTTGAAAATATATATGTATATGTATAAATGTATATACATATATATATCATAT